GATGTTTTTATTTTATTCGGCTTATAATTCCTTACTAAACGTAGTATTTAATCTCGATTTGACACGTTACACGTCTTTGATATGATTTAAATCAAATTCCTCGTCATTATAAATATCACGAATTTAAATCAAATAGTTTTCTGGTTGCAATTTTCTAATTTCGGCTATGCGTAAGGTATGCTTTACGCACACGCGCGTTGAAAGAAATGTTTAATAAGGTAAACAAATAAATATTAAGCTTCTTTTTTTGTAAATTTTGATACCCCTTAGATCATAATTGCTCATTATTTTATAAATTACGGCTTCATATTTTTAATTTTATAATCTCTGCATGCCATCTTACCAGATTTAAACTGATGATCTAGAATCTGGAAAAATCGATAATCCGGAATCGCCGAAGTCCCGACGAGTCCGGATTAAAGACTTTTGACTGTACTTGATTTGTTCATGGATTTTGGGTGCATGGGCTCTGATTAATGAAGGAATAATAATGAAGAGCTTTAAGAAAATGAAGATATCCAAAGCTCATGATAGTTATGAAGATTACTGAAGAGTGCAGACAGACTGAAGGTGTGTGGTGGTGGTGTATTTAATTATGGCAAAGCACACTAGGGCTATCTGCCTAAAGGGAGGGATGCCTTCGTGGAGGACTTTCTAAGGAAAACTGGCCCGTATACACGTTACACATGGGGAAAACCACGAAAACACCCATACAGCCAGCCCGTTCGTGGGATTCGAACCTCGGACCGAACCACCAGTGTTCAGCGACTTTACCGCTCTGCCGCTGGTGGGTGACAGACTGAAGGATAAGGAAGACAATGACAAGTGTGAAGACCTGCATACTGTAGCAAGTGGCACAACAGGTTCTAGCATCATTAAATGATTTGAGGCCTAGAAAGTAACAGTGGACAATACGAGCTGGTGAGATTGATACAGGAAGTAGAAATGAAGATATCTTAGATATTGGAAATGTTAATATAACAATCTAATCTTACAGGAATAAAGGGTTTTTTACTTCCTTGTACGAAGTAAAAAGGAAGTATTGTAATCGCTATAAGTTTCAGGCAGCATATTTCAACGAAAATATCCACTTTGACCGCTTTCGAATGCAATTTAATGATGTTTTTGCGTGATATCTGTACATAAGGACATAATAAAAGACTCTTTTCCTCCAAAAAAACTAAAAAACTGCTTTAAAATGAATTCTGAAGAGAATTTTTCGTGGCATCTGTACAAACGTATGTACGCATAACTCAAAAACGAGTAGCCTCAGAACGTTGAAATTTTGTATATAGGACTACTATAACATGTAGATGTGCACCTCGTATTTTGGTTGCAATCGGCCGCGCCAAACGTATATAAATATATTTATATATATATCCACTCTGTTACCCGGCTCAGTGATCTCAGTTTCTTTACTCTTATATGTTTGTAAATTGTACATTTTTGCTTTAAAAATGATTGAATTATGTTGTTTTTATCTTCCCGTTAAGGGTTTTATGCCTTTAGTAAATCTGTATGCAATATTTTTAGAATTATCAACAATTTTAAAATTGTTTAAGTGCCGCTAAGCCTAATTTGATGGCGGCCATTGCTCTTGTTTACATTTGAAACAGCTGAGTAGAGGATTTGTTGCCAATCTAGAGAAACTTAGCTTCGCAACAACAAAGATAACGCCTTCATTTATTATTTAAATCATGCTTAATCCTTTCTGGAATTTTTTTGAGGAAATAAGCATTTAAGATTTACTTCGTAATTTTTAATACAGATATTTTGAGTTTTTATGTATTTTTGCCTTGTCGCGAAGTGAAAACTGAATTAATTGAATGAGAAATACTCAATCGTCTGTGAAAAACTGTTTCTTTTTTGTTTTGTTTGCTTAATTTTTTTATACATAGTTCTAGCTTTATTATAGTATTTGAATAGATCATGCAGCAACGATTAGATAATTCTTTAAATTATATAAATTTTGTGCATTCTGAGTTATAATATGAACGAAATATAATACTGTTAAGTAAACCTAGTGCCAGAGTGTCGCTATGGTAAACAAAGTGAATTTTAAAGAATGCATTTATTCTATTGTGGTTTATGCGCTGTCGGCGAAGTAGGTTTAATTCAATCTAATAAGTTTAAATAAAATGCAAGAAAAAATGTGTATAATTTAATATTCCGTACAAGGAAGGAAGTCATGTGGTGTACATCATGTGGTACACATCAGATTTTTTAAATACATAATACTGTGACATACGGCATATTATTAATTTGATTAATATGAATCGGAAATCGTTTATGAATCCACTTTAACTTATTGTAATCAAAATTCAATATGATGGATTAAAAAACTGCATTTCTGTGTTTTTAGATGATCTTTAAGAATTTTGGCAATTAAAATATTAAAATTATTTTTTTCAGCTATAAATCTGTTGACAATAAAAAAAAATTAAACTGAAAATTCTGAATGAATTACTGTCCATTCTATCCTTCCAAATATTACTGGTTTTTATCTGCGAATACTTTTCATTTATTACGTTTTTACTATAACTGCATCCTTTGGAAATTAAATTATCTGCAACATTTTCTCTTCTTGATTTTCATGCAATAGTATTAGTAAAAAAGGGAAAAGAACATACAAGTAAATATGTTATATTGAACAGAAGATGAACTAATGTTGTTATAATTCCATGTATTTGAATTAAAGTTTGAAATCCATGTATTTGAATTTAAAGTTTGAAAACACCAACATTTTGCTTTACAATGCCATCTGCAGTTTCGACCTACAGTTTATGAAACTCTGATTCAAAACATTCCATTCAATTTAGTTTCACATCATCGTGATATAATTTATGCACATTTAAAATTTTAAATTAAATATTTTGCTTCAATGTATCAAATACAATATGATGGGCTACCAGTGTTACTTCTGTCTTGTATTACATTTTATATAAGGGGCTCATGAATGCAAACAAAAGTATATCACATATGATATAGTGGGAGTAAAAAGGTTAATGTTAATTCCCCCCCCCCAAATGGCTGGACTATTGCAAGGAACAAGAAGCGGTATATGCACAAAAATAACAAAGACTTATGTAACAGCTAAACCTTTATCATGGAATTCAGATTAGCAATTAGTCCCCACTACTATATTATCTAGGGTGACTTATTGAAGACGTAGTCATGCATTTATTTCATTGGATAGCTGCATAACAGGCCTTCAATAAATCTTCTCTCAAGTGGCAATACTTTATATTTTGGTCCGGACATGAAATAAATGCCCTGAAAACAATAAGCACTTCAAAGAGGATTCTTTTTAGGTGTTAATAATAAATGAACAAATACACACAAAATTATTTTACATGCTATTATTTTATCACTTTCATTTATTTCTATTATATTTATTTGTCATGGGTAGCAACTTAATGTCTTCAAATCAGCATTACTCACACTTTGACAACAGTTCATGAAATAGATATATGTTTCTTTCGTTAATAAGAACTAAATTTTAAAGATGGTAGAAATTTAAAGTTTGAAGAATCTGGGCAAAATTCAGAGGTACTTTGAAAATCATCTTTTTACAGTAAAATGTGTCATATTACAAGTTTGCATTGCGGTACACTGATTGTTGATTAAATATATAGCACAGATGAGATACAGCAAAAAAATTATCAAAACAATAATGCATTTTAGAACTGTTTTTAAAGCTTTAGTCATGTCTAATTCAAAATGATAGTAACAGAAGTTCTAAATTTATTGAAACAGTACTTTGAATTCTAGACGCACTAAATATTTCAGCAAGCTACTTGGACCATGCCATCTGACACTGATCTGCCAAGACAGACTACTTTGAAGAACTGCTCTAAAAGTTTAGGGGAAAAAAATATGTGTCTATAAAATCCTTCTTAGGGAAAGTGAAAGAACTTCACAGGAAAAGTAAATTCTTTATAATTTCGATTAACCAAATGAGTTACAGACAAAATGTTTAATTTTGAAAGGCTACAGGTAATTCTTTTTCCCAAACTGTTAGTTTGTGTCTAAAACTTTTATATAAGCATGGTTTAATTTTGCGAATTTTCAGTCAGTCCTCCTTTACTAAACTGTTATTTGGCTAACTATATAACAGTTACTTGGATGTATTATCTACACATGCATAATCACAACCTAAATGATTTGTCAGACTTTATAACTGAAAAAGTCAAAACATTTTACAAGCTTTTTGAAATGTAAATCAAATCAAGCAGCATGATCTTTTACTGATCATTTTTCATAGCCTTTATTTTAACATAAGAAAACTGAACTTTAATTGCACAGAATAAATGATATTCTGAAAACAATTTCATTGGCAATGGTCGAGATTTTGCCCAGCAAAAAAAAAAAAAAAAAATATATATATATATATAGTATTTAAAATTTTGTAATACTCCATGAAGCACATTAGATGTATTAAAAAGAGGGGGAGATGTCATAACGAGAAATTCAAATTCCTAAATGTGTATATTCTTTTCACTTACCTGTTATTTTCAAACATATTCGATCAAAAAAAATTCAAGTCATTCAGATTTCAAATATTTTAATTCAGAGACAGGAAAATGGAATAACAATGGAAGGAAATGACACTTTAATTCTACAAAAGAATTGGTTTTTAGTAGCAAGCATGTTAAAAATAAAAAAACTCTTAACCAGAATCCTTAACAGGTTACTAAATAAGCTTTAAAGCTTATTTTATAAGCTCTACAGTTTTAAAGCTCCAAGCTTAAATGTAAAGTTTAAATAGTTGTGCAAATGAAAATAATAATAAATATACACAGTTTAACCATCTGTTTGTAATTCAACTGTTTCTCACACATTATAAGATGGATGGTTTAGGATCACTGATTTTTATAGCTAACAATTAATAATATAAAAATATACAATTAATAATATAAAATGATACAACAGAAATATGCAGCACAAGTCAACTAATTACACAAGTATCACACAAGTTAATTCAAAGAATCATAACTTACCAATTTGATTATTTTAATCAGCATCCAATTATTTGTAGAACTCGTCATTAATTTAAAAAAAACTGGAGCTAGTGAAAGATAATTTTTTGGATTCTTACGAGCAAGCTCACATATAACATTAACTGCAGCTGACTGTACACCTAGAATAGTAAAATTACATATTTCTTATATCTGCTAATTAACAAGACAATTTAAAAATATACAAAAAAAAGAAATCTGAAAAGTTTCAGATTTTAACGTTTTGTGTGTTACCTTTATTTATTAAATATCATGTTCTTTGCACTTAAACCATAAAATTCAGTTCAATAGCAATGTCGCAAAATAATTTTAAAATGAGCATATCTTTAGAATTTCCGATACACAGTTCCACACGCTAGAGATAAAAAGGTCCCCCCCCACAGAGAGTGTTGCCATTGCTCGCTTCGAAATCCTTGAGTTTGTTAATCAAAAATTCGTTAAAGTTTTACAAAATATGAAATCAATAATAAAACAGGTTCCAAATTTCAAATTTGGTCCTCCACATGCCCATATTCATAGGAGGATTACGTCATTCAAAATTTGATGGCTCTATGTACCGTTGTTTTATCACAATGCAAGAAATATACATACATTTATGCAGATTTTTCATTATTTAATTTCTTCAAATATAATGCAGGACTCTACTAACATTTCTGGCACTAGTTTGAAAAGTGAAGCGGACATTTATAGTGATTCAACGCAAAATCGCAAAACGAAAACAACAGTCCTTCAGGGACAAAGCCACTTCGGACTAAAGTTAGGCCAACACTTAAAAATAACATTTTGATATTTTCTTGAATGTAAGTCAAAACAATGGAAATTTGACACTTAAGTTAATAAACTTCTATTCAAGCATTAAAGGGAGATACTGACAGTGCTACAAGCTTTAGATATGAACTCTAAAATTCAGTTTTCATAAACCCAATGGGGAAATATGCACCAAGTGGGACAACTTAAATCCCAAAATCTATTTATATAACTCTCCAACTACATGAACAGATTACATAATTTTGATCATATGGCCTATATGTTAAATACATAAGATTAAAAAATTATAAATCAGTCACAGACTACATTAGGCATACATATTAGTAATACAGCATAACAAATTCAAAATAGAAAGAAAATGCAGTAATTATACCTTTATATTAGCTTCTTATATTCAGTCATTATGTATAAGAAGTATAAACAACTGTTAGCTATTGGGAAACCACACCTTCTGATGTCAATATGTAGCTACAGCAGGACCCACCAGTGACTCAAGGGTAAAGTTTCTGAACACTGGTAGTTCAGTCCGACGTTTGAACCCTGCAAGTAGGATGGCTGCATGGGTGTTTTCGTGGTTTTCCCCATGTGTAATGTGTATACAAGCCACTTTTCTCTAGAAAGTTCTCCCCGAAATCATCCCTTTCTTTAGGCAGATAGCCCTCGAGGCTTTAACTGTAATTAGAAAAAACAAACATAGCTGAAGCAGACTGGCAACACTGTGTTCCCTTCTTCTCTCATTAAACAGTGCTATGTGAAATCTTAATGAACTTACGTTTCTGGAAATAAATTTATGTTTTCATTACTCTTATGAAGAGTATTTTTACTGCCACATGACTTCGTAGAGTCTATTTTACTGAAAGTAACTCATCACAGCTTTTCCAAAACCTGACATCCTAGATGACAGGATTTCTAAACGTGGAAAAGTCAACAAAAAGAATCCTGATAATATTATCAAAGTGCAATCAAAATGTCAGATTCTAAAGAAAACATTTGAAGAATTACAAAACTTAGAAAATCTAATACAGTCAAAAGTCATTAATCCGGACTCGTCGGGACTTCAGCGATTCCGTATTATAGATCATCAGTTTAAATATGGTAAGATGGCATGCGGATATTATAAAATTAAAAATATGAAACCGTAATTTATGAAATAAAGAACAATTATGATCTAAAGGGTGTCAAAATTTACAAAAAAAAAAAAGCTTAATATTTATTTGTTTACTTTATTAAACATTTCTTTCAATGTAAGTTGTTTAAGTTGCTTCGTTTTATGTGATAATACTTTCTCTTTAATTCTATAAACAGACATAATTTCTTGTTCAGTTACAAAGTTCTGCTGTTCAAGTCCTATAATTGCTGTGTCGAGAATACCGACTAATTTGTCAATCGAAATTTTTTCATTTTCAATAACCTCTGTGTCACTTTCTTCACTATCGGAAGCGAATTATAATGACGAGGAATTTGATTTAAATCATATCAAAGACAGAGTACATCGAGATGAAATACTACATTTAGTAAGGAATTATAAGCCAAATAAAATAAAAACATCTACTCTGAAGATAAGGATAGTGCTGACAGATCAAATTCCAATTCATTGCGCACCGCGGCAAATATGAGTTCCAGAGTACCTTTTCTAGTAAATGTAAAAATATCTTTTTATAATATTTTCCTCTGACGTTTTCAGATTGTTGGATGAAAGGATATTTCCTGATCACAGCGATCTACACCACCCATAGACTGTAGTCAGAAATAATCTTCACTTGAGTATATCTTCATTTTTCTTATTTTTGAGGCTGACCATGGAAGTATCATGAATACTGCTCATGAAACACACATTCTTCTTATCTTTCCACCTTATAGCCAAAATTTTACCTCTTTGAAAAGCTATGATTTGACCTTTTTGTAATTATCTTTTAGCGAATTCCGTAGGTAAATCCCGTCTGTTTATCCTTACTGTGCATAAATATCTGTTTTTTGGGCTACAGGTAAATCTGCAAGCTCGGGTGACATGTAATAGTTATCTACAGTCACACAATAACCATTTCCAAGAAAGCGATGCAATAGGTGCATGACGCCTTTTATAGAAAGTCCATAATTTTTATACAATTGATTGAAGACAGTATTATTTCCTGTATAGATAATGAAGTCACAAATATACCGTTTCCGCCTCACAAAGCATAAAAAAATTTTATTCCAAATCGTGCACTTTTGATAGGAATATATTGTTTCCAAGATAACCTTCCTTTATAAGGCATTAAGCTTTCATCAACCGATACATCACTTTCTGGTATGTAAAAATTACAAAATTTTTCCCGTAAATTTTCTATCACATTATACAGCTTCCAAAGTTTTGGATTTGGAAAATGATCTTCTGTTTCAGCTTCTATTATTGCAAAAATGTAAATATCGAAAAAGCAAAATAAAACGATTTACGGGCATTACTTTTGAGTAAACTGGAGTATGCAATATCCTTCGACGAGACCAGTACATAGCCTGATTTGGTTTTCGGACAATACCTTGAGGAATTATTAGCCCAAAGAATAGCTTAATTTTCTGTCATTTGTAGGTATCCATTTTTTACTGCACGAGCATCTTCATATCTTTGCCCGATTTGCTTTTCTTTCTTGTTCTGAATAGCTGTCCGTTTCTTTGACAATTATTTCCATTAGATTTGAATCCAGAAACATTTCTAAAATATCTAAAGGAGCGTAGTTTATGTTTACAGGAAAAGTTACACCTGGAGTACCTGTAAAAGGGAACCGCGGGGGCTCTAAACGGCCAGAAGCAATTATTTCACACCAGTCTCTAGCATTTCATATATCATCATCACCGCTAACCATTGATTCACTGCTACTTTCAATGTTACTCTCCTCAGTTTCACCTGCATCACTAGTATCGATGCCTTCAAAGTCTTCATCTTCGGTTGAAGAATCTAAATCATCTATATAACTTTTCAAAGAACTAGACGCCATTTTACAACAAAAAGATCCTGCGCACTTTGAACCAAAGAACTTCTAACCTTTGAAATCTTCAATAAAGTGCTGCCATCTACTGAATTGAATGCACATTAAATTTTCCCGAGATACAGTCGGGTTTGACAAAGAGATTAAGCCGAAATAAATGTTTCCCGATATATATTCGGGTGTAACAATACGATGCACTCAAAAAAAAAAAATTACCCCGAGAAATTCTTGGGTGTGACATTTTCGAACACCAGTGCTGTGCCCGAGATTATCTCGGGCATGACAGTTAAAAGGTTAAATAATCAGTTTAAGATTAAAATAATTTTAGATAAAAAATATTAAAATGATGGTGCCAATGTAGCAAATTCTTCTGATAATATAAACATTTCCCAAAAAGGAATTTTATTTTATAAAAGACTGGTTACTCCAATTGAAAATTCCTGCAGAAATGTAACTACAGACAATTATTATACAAGTATTCCACTTGCTGATTACTTACTACAAAAAACAAACAAAAAAAAAAAAAAAAAACCGACATTTGTAGGAACCCTGAAAAAGAACAAAAAAGAAATTCCACTAGAGTTTTTGCCATGTAAAAAAAGAATGGTTAGATCGGGTATATTTGGTTTTCAAAAAGATAAACTCTTGCTTTGTATGTTGCTCACAAAAACAGAGCTGTTATACTGCTTTCAATAATGTATACCACACCAAATATTGATAATGACACCAGTAAACTCGAATTTATCTTGGATAACAACTCTACGAAAAGAGGTGTTGATAATGTTGACAAGAGGTGCACTACTTACTCAGTATCACAGATAACAATGAGATGGCCATGTGCAGTCTTTTACAGTCTCATTTGCCAGAATAAATGCACAAATTTTATACTTGTTAAAGAAACCTGATAATCAACAAAGCCAAAAAATTTTCTTGTAAAACCTTAGCTTAGTTTTATAAAAGAACAACCATACAGCTCCAGCCAAAATCTCTTCATTGCCACATGATATTTCAATATTTCTAAATATGAATTATGCATTGCCTTTTGAGGAACAACTGAGCAGCAAGTACTGAAATGAGGACTTGCGGTTTGGTGTAAAAGGACAGAAAAAATCATCAGCATCCATGAAATATACATATGTGCAGCAGATATGCCTGCAAGCTACATTTGCTTACAAAAATATTATGTCTGGAACTTATGCACGATGAAACTACTAATTACAGACTCATAGAACTATTTAGATTAGTTTTCTTTTGTCAGTCTGCAATTTTCTGAACTTTGACTTGTCCACCTTCAATAGATTTTTGTGTGTGTGAAGTAATAATTGTGTTTCTCATTAATAAAGAGTTGTTAATTTCTTTTATTGTAGTTAGAGTATATATATTTTAAATAACCA